TTTTTTTTTTTTTTTTTTTTTTTTTTTTTTTTTTTTTTGGTCTGTTTTAGTGTGTACTTGAGTGTGTCTATGATCGAAAAAATAACCTCCCCCGGAAATATTGCTGCGATACTGCGTTCGCAATTATAATTCGCAGTCGCGCAACGATGAGCAAGGTGTAAAATTAACGGTTGAAAATTCTGAAAAATTAAATTCATTAGCACATCGTAAAGTAATTTTTGTAATATTTTTTTTTTTTTTTTTTTTTTTTGATTTTTAATATATCGCTCTGTAAGAAAACGAGTGATAGGTAAACGTGTGATGATGTTACCATGTCAAAGAATTAAAATATTTAACGTTAAGGAAACGTTTATACGAAGGAAAAGATCAATGCAAAACGTTAATTCATTCTCTGTTTCAAAATTTATTTGAGAACTTGTTGTCGAATACGAGATGAAAAAATTCCATTGAAAATATTCGATCGATCAATGATCTATTCGTTTATCTGAAATTCTAAAAAAATATTCATCCACATCGCTTACGTATCAACCTTTTTAATACAAATTCAGCATATATAATTTCATTGTACTGTAATCAATATGAGTTGCTCTGAATATTCACATGTAATAATAATAAAAATAGTAAACATTTCAAAATATCGATTTATATATATACATAAATATTATTATTATTATTTAAAATTTTCAACGGAATGGAATTTTACGTATACACGATAATAAATATTATCATTTAATTTAAACAGATAAGCGATATAATTAATACCATTTCAAAATAAAATTGTATCGAAATCGATATGGGTATTAATAAAATTATTCGTTAAATAAGATTGAGCTAATTTTTCCTTTTTTCCTTTTCTTTTTCTTTTTTTTTTTTTTCTTTCAAAAATTATTAAAAATGACATCGACATTGTTACTTCGATTACGGGCAATGAGCAAAAGGTGTTAATCGTGTAAACCGTATAATGATATTCCTTACCTTGCTTGAAACCTTCGCTCCCTTGTCTACTGTGCGGCCGCGCGAACGTCTCATCGGAGGCTACTCAACAATACAGAAGAAAGTTCGATCAGTTGGATCATCGTCAAAGTTGCAGTCAAAAAAAAAAACAAATATCCTCCCTCGCTTAAAACACCCGAAATTACATTTTACAACGAGGAGAGGAGAGGACAATAACCATCGTTCACTGCTGAAAAGAAGTCTCGCGCAGGAATCGTGCGCCCTTACCTATCATCTTATTCATCCTTTCTCTTCTTCGCATAGAAGAATTACAGAATTATATGTAAGCATTCCATCCTTAGATCAGACTTTTCCCTCGCACAGACTTGTTTCCATCAGCGAACTATACATGTATAATCTGATGATTAAAAAGAAAGAAAGAAAGAAAGAAAGAAAGAAAGAAAGGAAAGAAGGAAGGAAGGAAGGAAGAAATAAAGAAAGAAAAGAAGGAAGGAAGAAAGAAAGGAAAAAAGAAAGAAAGAAAGGAAGGAAGGAAGGAAGGAAGGAAGAAAGAAAGAAAGGAAAGAAGAAAGGAAAAAAGAAATAAAGAAAGGAAAAAAGAAATAAAGAAAGGAAGAAAGGAGGAAAGAAAGAAAGAAAGAAAGAAAGAAAGAAAGGAAGGAAGGAAGGAAGGAAGGAAGGAAGGAAGGAAGGAAGGAAGGAAGGAAGAAAGGAAGAAAGAAAAAAAGAAAAAAAGAAAGGAAGAAAGGAAGAAAGGAAGGAAGAAAGAAAGGAAGAAAGGAAGGAAGAAAGGAAGGAAGGAAGGAAGGAAGGAAGGAAGAAAGGAAGAAAGAAAGGAAGAAAGGAAGGAAGAAAGGAAGGAAGGAAGGAAGGAAGGAAGGAAGAAAGGAAGAAAGAAAGGAAAAAAGAAAGAAAGGAAAAAAGAAAGAAAGAAAGGAAGGAAGAAAGAAAGAAAGAAAGAAAGAAAGAAAGAAAGAAAAAAAGAAAAAAAGAAAGGAAAAAAAAGAAAAAAAGAAAGAAAGAAAGAAAAAAAGAAAGAAAGAAAGAAAAAAAGAAAGAAAGAAAGAAAAAAAGAAAGAAAGAAAGAAAAAAAGAAAGAAAGAAAGAAGGAAAAAAAGAAAGAAAGAAGGAAAAAAAGAAAGAAAGAAAGA